GGTGGAGCCTGGAAAGGGTGGGGGTTGGGGAGGGGAGGGACCTCAGTGGGGTATAATGCCCATAGAGACCACCCTGCAGGCATTTTCTCCAGGGGGGAATTGCTCTCTGTAGTCCGGAGATCAGGTGTAATTCCTGGAGATCTCCAAGCCTCACCTGGAGGCCAGCCATCCTACCTGTAGGCCATAACACACCAGAACCCCACACTGAGCCCTCACCCACATCCAGCACTGCACCCTTTAAAGCAGGGGTGTCAAACATGTGGCCCCAGGGGCCGGATGAGGCCCCCGCAGGGCTTCTATCAGGCCCTCAGTGGAACTGGCTGTCTTCTGCTGCTTCTTCTAGCTCTGCTGCTGCTGCATTGTTGTAGGTTTGCAGATACACACCTGAACAGCACACTCAAGATTGCAACAGCACAGACATTTTGATGCAATAATTCAGACCAAAAGGCGTCTCTTTCTTTCCCACCAAACCATCCCCCTCAATAATGCCTCTTTGGTGACGCCCTGGGCTGGCCCCTTCATCCTCATTCTCAACAAAAAGCAGCCCTATTGCACACCAATTGCACGGGCCAACACTATTCCCTTCCTTTCCCACCTTCCCTCCCCGCAGTTTAGGGCCAGTTCATACATGCAGGATGAAGTGGCCCAGACCGAAGGTGCTAGACTGGGCTGCCTGACTTGAGACTTTTTCAAAGACACTGGAATTTGAAAAATACACTGTATTTGAAAAAGTGCGCCTTGCACATGAAAGCTCACACCTTGAATAAACCTTTGTTGGTCTTAAAGGTGCCCCGCTGGACTCTAAATTTGTTCTACTGCTTCAGGCCAACACGGCTGACCACCTGGATCTATGGTCTTATATAGTCTTTTTAAAAGATCCCCACAGAGAACTAGCACAATAAGACTGTGGGGCCCCACTCCCCTTTGCTTTATTTCCCATGCTGCTTTTCTAGATGCAGGAAGCATTTAAGAGAGGTGAGTGTTCCAAAAGGCAATCTCCCACAATCCCCCACCAGCAATCCCTTCTTTGTCTCAGGTCTCTGCCAATTCATACCCCTCGCCTACATAAACTCTGTAAGCTTCTCTGGACAGAGACCTGCTTGGTGCTTTGGGGCTTGTGTCTCTCCGGAAAACACTCAATCTTTCATTAATACTTGTAGACCAAAAGGTCACAAGTGAACAGGGAAAATTATGTTGATATACAGGCAATGTAAGAAACTTAAGTATACAATGGGCAACATGAGTATACATTCCTTAACATTAAGAAGTGATGCCCTTAAGTGCCCTAGACAGAAATTTTGCAACTGCAAGAGTCACATTTGGATTGATATCTGCTAGTAACTTAGCTACAGCCTCTTGGTTTGTAACAAAACTCCATTTTTGGATATGGGTTGTGATCCATTGTATTTATTGCAATCAATCAATAAATTGTATTTATTGCAATCAATAAGGAAGTGCCAGATAGTGTCTAAATCACCGGGTTTGCAGACCCATAGCTGCTCAGAGAAAGGGATTCCTAGAAACCTGCCTGCTCGTTCCCCTAGAGGCAGGGCATTGGGGCTGGAAAGCGCTATTTACAACGGCCTTACTATATATGAAGTGACCCCAAATGGCTCGCCCTGCCTTCTTTCCATTATGGAGCAAGCAATTAATGTCAACCAATCCTGTGCCATGAGATCAATACAGTTTATTGGATTTCCTACATCTTCCAGCCCTTTGTTTGCTCTACATACTTCCCCCCCCCCTTCTCTCCTTCCTAGAATATTCAAGGCTAGGGTTGCTAGCTCCGGGTTGGGAAATTCCTGGAGATTTGAGGGGGTGGATCTGGGAGAGGGCGGGGCTTGAAGGGAGGGGCCTCGGCATGGTCCAGTGCCATAGAGAGTCCACCTTCCAAAGCAGCCATTTTCTCCAGGGGAGCTGATCTATGTTGCTTGCAGTGTTCCCTCTAAGCTGAGTTAGTGTGAGCTAGTTCACAGTTTTCTAGCCTTTGGCTCACAGATTTTTGTCTCAGCTTGGGAAGGATGTGGCTCCAGAGCAAACTAATTCATGCAGTGGCCAAATCGCTTGCTCACAACTTTAATGCCAGTAGCTCACAAAGTAGAATTTTTGCTCACAAGACTCCACAGCTTAGAGGGAACATTGGTTGCTTGGAGATCTCCAGCCACTGCCTGAAGGTTGGCAACCCCATTTAAGGCCACATCCCCTTTTATCAACTCTCATGCTCTCTCTCTAACAGAAAAGGTAAAAGGTAAAGGTCCCCCTTGCTCGAAAGCCAGTCGAATGCGACTCTAGGGGGCGGTGCTCACCTCGGTTTCTAAGCCGAAGAGCCAACACTGTCTGAAGACATTTCCGTGGTCATGTGGCCGGCATGACTAAACACCAAGGTGCACGGAATGCTGTGACCCTCCCACCGAAGGGGTACCTATTTATCTACTTGCAATTTCTTGCTTTCGAACTGCTAGGTTGGCAGGAGCTGGGGCCAGAGATGGGAGCTCACTCCATCATGCAGCACACTCGGGTCTCGAACTGCTGAACTACAGACCTTCTGGTCTGCAACTCAGTGTCTTAACCTCTGAGCCACCGCAGCCCTCTCTTTAACAGAGGATATACCCATCATACAGAATGGTGGTAGACCAGGGATTCTTGATTGCACCCCTTCAGTTTGCAGATAGGAAAAAAGGTCATTTTAAAAATGCCTCCTTAAAACAGAAAGAACCCAGTTCCTTTCATGTAGTAAACTAGCACTTTCCGGTGGAGTGGGGGTCCGCTTTGGAACAGATGTCTCCCATGCATGGTTGGTTTCTTTAAAATATGGAGCAACATTACAAAATATCTTCCACCGGCAACCTTAAAGTGGTATCCCAGAATTCCACCTCCTCCAACCACCACCTTATTCTGCATAAAATGGTTCATGTGACGCAAGGAGGGGGCAGGGTGCTACCACTGCAGATGTGTGGGGGGGTGCCATTTTCAGCAGACCCTCTTCCTGGCAAGTAGAAAAGTGACTTCGCTCAAACCCAGCTTGTGCTCTGCTGCGCTAGTTAGCTACTAGCTGGGATTTGTGTTTTACACCCAGGGGAGAATTTGGAAATGCTGCCTCCCATCTGGAGTCTGAAGTGAGGCAGTCCTGTCCATCACCTGCGCCCCCCCCCCCTTCCACTGCATGCACAGCTCAGGCTGTTTTAGAGAGCCATCCTACACGGGTCCGCTCATGTCTCTTCCATGGGGCTCCCTCCTAGGAAAGTGTTTCCAGGATTACACTGTCAGTCATCCAATTTGAAACCTCAAGGAATTCCATAGGTGTGGGTGGTGCTCAGATCCTACCCTGTAGTCCAGAGCAATGCTCCCTCTAAGCTGTGGAGTCTTGTGAGCAAGAATTCTGCTTTGTGAGCTCCTGGCATCAAAGCTGTGAGCAAGCTATTGGGCTCCTGCATAAATCAGTTTGCTCTGGAGCCATCCTTCCTGAGCGAAGGCAAAAATGTGTGAGCTGGAGGCTAAGAAACTGTGAGCTAGCTCACACTAACTCAGCTTAGAGGGAACGCTGGTCCAGAGGTGTCGAATTTGTTTGTTATAAGGGCCGGATCTGACATAAATGTCACTTTGTCAGGCCAGGTCATATGTGCCATAAATCATAATGCCGGGTACCGGGGATAGAAACTGTATAAAGAACAGCAGCTGGTAAGCTCCGAATTGGTGTGTCATCACTGCTGGGCCCCACGGGATGGGAGAGAGGGGCTAAGGAAAACCCAAGTGGGCAGACTGGAGAGCCAGCGGTGCAGCACTGGGCAGATGCTCCCACACTGCTTGACTGCTATAGGTGAGGTTATTCTGCCATGCTGAAGCCACAATCTGAGTGGCTTCACCCACTCCCCCTCCCAAGCAGTCTCCTGTTCCCTCCCTTGCACTAGTTGCTTGCAGGCCGCATAAGAGCCCTGGACGGGCCGGTTCCAGCCCCCGGGCCTTATGATTGACAGCCCTGCTGTAGTCTCTGAAGTGATTCATGAACAGTTAGCAGCACCTGTTCATTTATGAGTCACAAACATGCGTTCATCTGGCAGAGTTTCTGCCCATCGTCTTATCCTGGGGACCAGGTCCCCAGGTAGCTCTGGAGGGTGCACAGCAATTTTGCAAAAGCTAAGGAGGGCTGGGTTTGGGTTTGGCCACTGCCTGCAGGCGAAAACACCTTGAGCTCCGTACAGGTGAAATATGAGTGCCCTGAATAAATGAATGCCGTCAGTCTCTTGATCTGAAGCATGGGTTTGAAAGTGCCGGCGAGCGCTGTTTCCCCCTCCTTGCTAGGGCAATTTGTGTTCCAACTGACTGCGGCCCAGGGAACTGATCATTGTCCCGCTTTCCAGTCCAAAATTGGATCCCAAATCAGCTTTAAAAACTCCTACCAAAGTCCTGACCTGGATAGCCCAGGGAAGCCCGATCTCATCAGATCTTGGAAGCTAAGCAGGGTTGACTGTGGTTAGTACTTAGACGGGAGACTTCCTTGGAATACCAGCAGTAGTGAGGACAGAGGCAAGCTTTATTCAACCACCTCTCTGAATATTCTCCAGGCCCCCAGCAGGGGTCAGTCACCAGACCTCAATGTGACTTCCAGGTGTGCGCAAACACACACACAAACACAAAATACCAAACCCCCCCAAAAAAATAACTCCTACCAATGATGTTCATTACAAAAGCTGGAGGTGGATCCTGACCTGATCGAGGGGTGCTGAGCCGCTACCTGCCATGCCATCGATAGCCCAGTAGAGGCCATTGGGGCCAAGGCTATCAGCCAAAGGGCCACGGAAGAACAGCATCACTACCTCCCAAACCCAAGCAGTGTGGTGTCAGGATTGTTAATGTTGTGTCGCTGAGTACGTGACCGCCCTGCGGAAGGCAGCCTGGCCCTGCAACTTCGCCAACCTTGAAGAAGCGTTACTTGACTGTCTTGTATGCGGCCTTCGCGACGAGAGGCTTCAACAACGCCTGTTCGCAAAAACTGCAATCACCTACGAAGTGGCTTACGCGGAGGCTGTCACCGCCGAAGCGGCCGAGAGGTCGACGCGAGAGGTCCGTCAGCGCCATGTCGAGGCCGGGAACGACCAGGTTGTACACCACCAATCGACCAGCAGTTCTGAGGGAGAGACAGAGGACGTCCATCGCACACAAGCGACGCATCAGAAGCGGACCCCATGAAACCTGCACCACAGCGCACTTGCGCTGGCTATGGTGGCAGTCACAAGCGAGACCTCTGTTGGGCGCGAGATTTCGTCTGTCGTGCCTGCGGGAAACGAGGTCATCTGGCCAGGGTCTGCCGGGCCAAGAAGAAATCGCCACCACCATCTCCTACTACAGGGCCTAAGGTTCGAGGCACCGAAAGCACAAGGCCCACCGACTGCCACCGGACCGACTCCTGCAGCTGTACCGCTACCGTTCTGAACACCGGAGCAAGCATCAACAAAAAGATCCTGGTCACCGTTCGCCTAGATGGAGTCCCCTGCGACATGGAGGTCGACTCTGGTTCCGCGCTGACCATCATTTCATCACAGACTTGGCAACGTTTGTTCCTGCGACGGAGCCGCCACCACTTGACCCCATCCACGGCGCACCTCTCCGATTTCCAGGGGCGGTGCATTCCACTAGCTGGCCAGGCCAGTTTTGAGGTGGAGTTCAAGGGTCGCAAGGTACAGTTGTCCCTCTTGGTTGCTGAGGGTAACCGGGCCAGTTTGCTGGGCCTGGATTGGTTCCAACCTCTGGGTATTGCTGTAACCGGTGTTAACAAGGTGTGTGCAAATAAAGGGAATTGCATTTATGATGAGTTCCCAGAGGTTTTTGGGGAAGGTCTGGGTCAGTACACAGGTCCACCTGTGAGGTTCGACCTAGATCCCTATCCGTCTAAGGTATAGGAAGGTTCCAATAGCCATGAAGGCTAAAATAGAGGCGGAACTGGACAAGCTCATAGTCCAAGGTATTCTTGAACCTGTGCCATACGGTAAATGGGAGACCCCGATTGTAATGCCTGGAAAATCTGATGGAACTGTACGTATATGTGCTGATTGCAAGTGTACAATCAATAAGGCTCTGCAACAACATTCTTACCCGGTACCTGTAATCAGCCATGTGTTGGCTTCCCTTGGGGGGGGGGAAGGTATTCGCGAAACTCAATCTAGCACAGGCTTATCAGCAGTTGCCTGTGGATGATCAAGCTGCTGAAGCCCAAACTATTGTTACTCATGGGGTACATTCCGAGTAAAACGTTTACAGTTTGGGGTAAATGCCACCCCTGGTATATTCCAAGGTCTTATGGAAGGTCTCCTATAAGGGTTGCCAGGTGTCGTCCCGTACTTCGACGACGTGCTCATTGCAGGGTCAAACGAATCAGAGTTACTTAATCACCTCAGGTCTGTACTGGAGTGTTTTAAAGAGGCAGGCCTCAGAGTAAAAAAAAGTCAAAGTGTCATATTGGGGTATCTGAGGTCGAATTTCTTATTCTCCTGATTGATGAACAGGGTGTGCACCCCATGGCGGATAAGGTCTCAGCTATCCAAAACACCCCCCGGCCTACTTCCAAAAAAGAGCTGCAGTTATTCCTAGGCATTGTGAATTTCTATCACTCGTTTTTGCCTCACAAAGCCTCCGTAGCTGAACCATTGCATGCCCTGCTGCACAAAGGGGTGGAATGGGTGTGGGGGCCAAGGCAAGAAAAGGCGTTCTGTGCTGTAAAAGAGCTGTTGTCCTCAAATACTGTATTAACGCATTTCGACAAGGACAAACT